CGAAAACATTGGCGTACGGGCAATTGCAACATACGGAGTACTCCTCCCAGACGCTAATGATCAATATTGAGATCTACTCCAGTACGGTTTCACATCGAAATCATTCAACCGGGCAGCTCCCATCAGATCAGACGCTCTCACCCTCGCGCGTCGATCCCTCGACACCTGATGATTCCTCCGGTACGCTGAAAAGCGGCAGGTGACAAGCGTTCCGCGGGTCGTGATGAGAACGGTCACCTTTCGTTCTCTTCTCTAGTACGTATAATCCGCTATACCAACTGCCCTCCTAACAACTGAGATTCTTGGTGTCATGCCGGTCACTCACATCGTACAGTAGGATTGATCGGAGGAGCCCGGGACAGCACCGCCGGCGGCCGGTCCCCGTCCTGCTAGCTGCGGCTTCTACTGGCCGAGCTTGTCGGTAGCGCACGGATGACTCATTGACACATCGGACGTCGCCTCTAGCTTTAATTAATTAATTTCATCCCACTTGTGTGGATTTACTACGGCGTGCGCATGGGATAAGATGGATCGGCTGCTCCAGCGCCAGCGGAGAAGACCACCGCCTCAGTTGGATGTTGCTCTCGCGGAGATCATGTCGGGGTCCCCCATGGATGGCCCATGGATGCCACAGCCACGATCCGGGGAAAAAAATCCATGATCTGTTGTCCCGGCCCGTGATACACTGACAATTGATCGAGCGCGCTAGCTGCGATAATAAAAAAAAAGTTAAAGGTTAGTATGATAGATGTTGTGGTTGTGGTCAACACATTGCGGCCGCAGTCCCTTGACGAAAGTTTCTCCGTCGGGCGTCGGCCACGCCACGCGTAACAACAAGAACAAGGCCCATCCGTCGTCAAACTAGCTATGCGCACGGGCGACTCACTCAAAGGAGGACGTTGACACTCCAGGGCAGCAAGCACTGGGTGTCTGGGTGCACCAGTCACCAGTGCACCACGCAGCTAGCAGCCTGGCGGCGGACGCTCGGAGGGCCGGGAGCACGTCAACCCCTAGGTAGCGGGCGTCGTGTACTGCCCGCCGCAATGCTGAAATTGGCATCGTTTTTGCAGTCATAAGAGACATCGAGCAGGACGAACTGGCCGGAGTACACACATCAACTGCCTGACAAGTCCAACACAACAATGCTGTGTTGATAATAAAAGAGGGCGAAAATAACTTCGTTTCCTGATCGGTAGACCGACCCGGCGACCCGCTCCACTAGCAGGTGGCGTTTGGTGGGACCATCGGTCCATTTAAGTAGTGATGATCGATGATTGCAGCCTGCTGCATCGCCTGGCTATTTAATTTTGAGCAAGTCCACGGAATAGAAAATGGAGCATGACTCGATATACTATCACAGAGTTTGGATATTTATGTGGATTGTTGGTGTGTGCCTGTGTTTACATGTGGAGGTTGGGAGATGAAAGATGAGGCTCCTTCTGCTCCACTTCAGTCCTGGGCCGCCGCCTTTCAGTTTTAACTCTCCTCTGGCCGGGTTGGTTCAGGGATGCTGAACCGGTTTCACCCGCTGGGTTCGCTGGTTGACACATCTGGCTGGGTTGGTTCGCTGGCGAATGGAGAAAGTTTGGCACTGCCGGGCCGCCCAGAGATCTCGCGTGGTCGATCCCCCAGTCCACTGTCCACAGCATCGGTCAAAAGTCAAAAACAAGAGCGCGTGCGTGCGTGGCCACTGACGACAGAAGGAAGCCTGTCCGGAATCCTGGTTCCTAGATCGCGATCGCGAGGTAAAAAAAAAAGGTTACTGTTATGCGATGCTCCTTGACAAGAAGGCTCCGTCCTCCGAGCCATGGGGTTCACAAGGGAAGAGAATGGGTGAGAGGGGAAAGAATGGATGTAGCTGCTCCAGTGGGGAAGATGGGAGAGTGGATTGGGTTTGACTCAAGGCTGGACCGGTGGGAGACAGACGAGGGAGGCAAGGGTAGCGTGGTCATTTCGCGTGCCAAGTTAGTCCTCCCAGGCTCTCTGCCACGTTGGTGTGCTCATCTAGCGTGCCACCTCAGAAAAATGATAAAAACGTAGGAGGGTTACTGTTTGCGATGGCAAATGGCTCTCAGGCTCTCTGCCACGTTGGCGTACTCATCTAGCGTGCCACCTCAGCAAAAATGACAAAAACATAGGAGGAATACTGTTTATGATGGCAAATACATATAGACATGAACAAAACTGGCAAACGAACAGGTGTCATACGTAAAGGATGTCAAAAAGTTAAAAATCCCCAAGCGAATTACGCAATGTCGGAGGGCGGGGCCTTTTCCATGGCTGATGGCTCACTACGATGTCATTGTCTGTGGGGATTTTCCTAGGCCCGTGTCACCAATTCACCGTGTCCTAATCAGAAAGTGAGAGGCTCTGAAAAATTACTTGAAAAATTATTCTCGGTGCCTCACCAAAAGTCACACACGACACATTGACACACACACCATCGGCGCTTAATTGAGGCGGACAGTTGTAGCACGGACAGTGCACTAGCTTTTGTCTGCTGCTGCAGAGTTTGCCTCTGGCCCAGCCGTTGATTCGACCCTTCTAGAAGTCGCTGACCCTACTATTCTGTCAATAGATCTGTGGCGTGATAGACCGTGATGTTGGATGCCTAGTCTAGGCCAGGTCTAGATTGAAAGTTTTTTCAACTTGATGAATAGTACCACTTTCGTCTTATTTGGTAAATATTGTCTAATCGTGGATCAACTAGACTCAAAAGATTCATCTCGTGATTTCCAACTAAACTGTGTAATTAGTTTTTTTTATCTACATTTAATACTCCATGCAAGCAGCTAAAAATTGATGTGATAGAGAGAGAGTGAAAAAACTTGGAATTTTGAAGGGAACTAAACAAGGCCCTAATTCGAGAGAAATACTCCTGGTCACAAAGACAGATGGGTGGATTAGTTACTACCGGACCGGTACGTGGTTATATAGTCTTACAAAAGCTTTTGGAAAGTATAGGAAGCACCGTACGTAGTAAAAATTCGTTCGTTGATACGATGACAAGGTTCTATCACACTTGTACTTGTACCTCCCATGCGGCGGGGCCGAGCTTGGACTAGGAAGCGGTAACATATGCACGTGGGACGTTTTCATCCAGGGAGGCACATGCGCGCTAAAAAGTATGTTTGGTTTCACATGAGATTAGATGATTTTGTCCTTTTCTTTATGGAGATAGTCTTAGCTCTATGTTTGGTTGAGGGGTTAGGTTCACCTTTGTTTTTGTTTTGCTACGAGAGATTAAGAGTGTTGTGATGTAGTTTTTAACACCGTTAGCCACATTTATCAACGAGACGTACATGTCATTTTATTTGTATATATTTTTTATCTTTTTTCTTTTCACAGCCTTATTTTCTCGCGCATCTTTAGATTAGCCGCTGCTCACTCAGTCACCAGGTCTCCTTATGTGTGACTCACCCATGCCCTAGGTCTGTTCGTACATTCCCGTGTTGCCATTGTTGCTGACTGCTCGAGCTTCTCCATGCCAGCCTGCGTCTATGCCCTACCTCTGCCCTAAATTATTGCCTACTCGAGCTTCGCTGAGCCAACGAATGAAGGCCGCAGTGTTTGATTTAGCGTCCTCGTCGGCGGTCCTTCATACCCCCTCGGGCCTCCACACCCACGCCCTCACCAGAGACCACCACACTATCCTTGAGCTTGCCCGCACGGGGGACAACGCTTCACATCGTTCAAGTGGGTTGGATCGGTTAGTCTTGGCCTTTTTATTTTGGATGGACAACCTCATCCCGTGTCTATGACGAATTTTTGTCTATAGGACGAATTCCATTCCATTTTGGCTCTCATCTAATCTAGGGTTTGTTTGTTTGGTGCCAAGTGCCATACTTTGGCACGTCTATTTTTTTTGGCAAACTATGAGTATGATAGAAAATGTGATGAGCAAAATCAAACTCACACTTTGACAAAAAATGAGTCAATGACAGGTGAGACATGATTATAAAAAATTGGTAAGTTGTGTTCATCGACGAAGCAGATCCCTAATTAATTGCAATGACGTCCTGGACTCCTGATGGTCTTTTCCCTTTGTCCAGCCACACAGAAATTACCGGCCGCTGAAAAACGTTCCCAGCGCAGCGTATCCCGAAACGCACGGTGCGCCCAGGACCACCCGTGCGTGCCCCACCTAACAGGCCAATCATCCAATAGCAACACGGCGTTTGTGCTGGTTGTCCTGGCCGTTTCCCCCGCTGCGGCCCACGACTGACGACCCGATCCTCTAACTCCACCTCTGCCTGCCACTGTGCCACACTGATTTTTTTTTTGAGAAACTCTCTACTGTGCCACACTGATGACCAGGAAGAGGACAGGACGCCCGGCCGCCAGCGCCTGCCAGCTCACAGCCCCACACAGAAACCGAGCGACCTGGCGCCCTGCCCATAGGCATACCCTCCCAGCCCGGCACAGCCCCGCGCGGTCTCCCTCTCCCTCTCCCTCTCTCGCTCCCCATAACACCGGCCAGGCCCAGGAGGCCAGCCCCGGTCCCGAACGCGACGGTCTCGAAACTTCCACCGCGCCACGACGCCGAGGCACACATCACGCCCGCCCCAGTGCCCCACCCCACGCCCGCCGGTTATAAATAGCCAAGCGTACGACTGGGGCCAGAGACAGAGAGAGACCCTCTCCTCCGCGGCTCCGCACCCACGAAACGACCAAACTGCGCGAGCGCGACCGAGCACGGACAGCGCAGCGCGGCACCGAGCCGCTGCGAACGAGACCGCACCGCCCCGCCCGGAGAAAAGGCAGACGCGGCGGCGGCCCAATCCGGAGGGCGCGACCGGTCCGGTCCGTTTTCTGTCCGTTCCTTCCTTCCTCCGTTCGTTCGTTGGCCTCCTCCTCCACCTGTTCCTCTTCTTGGCGCGGCGGCAAGAAGAGGAATAGAAGAATAGCAGGAGAGGAGAGGGGAGCCCCGAGCCAGAGGGCAACGTCCAACGGCACGCCGCCGCCGCTCGGGCTGAGGTAGCCGCTGCCAAGACAAGACGATGGCGCGGTTCATCCTGAGCCTGATGGAGCTCGGGGTCAGCGCCACCGTGCACATGCTCTTCGGCCTCTACGTCTTCAGCACGGCCGTCGCCGCCGACATCTCGCAGGCGGCCGCGGCGTCGGGGTGCCTCCTGCTGCGCCGCCCAGGGGCGCCTCCCGCGGCCCCAGGCTCGGCCGAGGGCGCGGCGCTTGTCGACGTCGCCGCCGCGGGGGAGAGCGACGAGCGCAGGGGCGCCGCGCCCGTCATCCTCGACGCCTCGCCGCCGCCCATCGTCCTCGTCCACGGCATCTTCGGCTTCGGCAAAGGGGTACGAACGAAACCAATCGGAAACTCTGAAACTCTCTCTCTCTCTCTCTCTGTTGGTTCTCTTCCGGCCGGCCTTCCTGGCGGGGGGCGGCGAGTGTTTGGTGAAATGCCGCGGCGGCAGCGTCCTCACGTGTTTTCTTCCTCTTTGCTCTTTGCTTCCGCGCGCAGAGGCTCGGTGGCCTCTCCTACTTCGCCGGCGCCGAGAAGAAGGACGACCGCGTGCTCGTCCCGGATTTGGGGTCGCTCACCAGCATCCATGACAGGTGGGTGGTTCGGAAAAGAACTACTACTACTAGCAGAGATACTTCTTTGATCACTATCATCATAATAAAAAACCTGCCAAATATTCCCGTTGGGTAGTTGCCCGCTGCTTTACCTTTTTCAACCACCTTTATTTGTAGATTATGTTGCTTATTATGATTTGGTATCTTCTCCGTGACTGTGAACAAGAATGATTATGTCCTCCATAGATCGCTGGAAATTTAATTGTTTTTGGCGTTGCAGGGCGCGCGAGCTGTTCTACTACCTCAAGGGCGGGCAGGTGGACTACGGCGAGGAGCACAGCAAGGCTTGCGGCCACAACAGGTTTGGGAGAATATATCACACAGGTAGAGATTCCGAAGAACACAATACATGGCCATGGCCTTTCAGAAATTTCATTTTCCATTAGTTCTTACATGGCTGATGGCTGTTCTAATTTTGGTGCAGGGCACTATCCTGTGTGGGACGAGCACAACCCGGTGCATTTTGTCGGGCACTCTGCCGGCGCGCAGGTTGTGAGGGTGCTGCATCAGATGCTTGCCGACAAGGTACACAAACAGGAGATTTTCAGTTTTACTCACAAGTGGTAGCTGTTTATTGCTGCTGGTGGAATTAGTCATGCCTATCATGTGCTTTCAGAGGGATGGTTCTTGTGACTTGGAGTACATGATTAGAGCACCCAATTTAGGATCACTTTACGCCAGTTTTTGTTAACTTGGGCCTCTGTTAACGCGCTTTTGTAGGGATGGTCCAATAATCTTTTGTTAGTATGGCCAAAATCCATTCTTAGTTTATCCTTTCCCCTACTTTATGTGATTTTGAAGTGCGCTTTTGCCACTGAATTGAGCTTCGGTGTTTGATTGCATGACCCTCTATGGGCTTTACGCATGTGGCATGCTGGTCTTGCTTGTTGCATGTTGAGCCGGCAGCTTGCTGGCATGCTGTAGTGTTACGAAACATGTGAACTTTAGCACTTTGTGGATATACTATATATAATTCTAACACATACCGTGATACTGATCTCAGGCTTTCCCTGGACATGATACTTCTGAAGATTGGGTTCTGAGCCTGACTTCCTTGTCTGGTGCACTTAATGGAACCACAAGAACTTACTACGATGGCATGCTGTAAGTGCTGCTGAAACAAATACAGATAAGATCAATGGACTCTTCTATCTTGGTGCCAGCCTCCTTATTGTTTTATACTTTTCTGCTATTTTCAGGGTTGAAGATTGTAGGTCCATGAAATCTATCTGTCTTCTTCAGCTCTGCCGGCTCGGAGTTATTGTCTACGATTGGCTAGATATTCCTTGGCTGAAGAATTACTACAATTTTGGTTTTGACCACTATGAGATGTCACGGAGGAAAGTAGGCTTTTCAGGTCTAATTAATCTGCTTCTGGGGCACACGGGCCCATTTGCCAGCGGAGATTGGATTCTACCTGACCTCACAATCCAAGGATCCATGAAACTAAACTCTACACTTAGGACCTTTCCCAATACATTCTACTTCAGTTATGCTACAAAGAAAACAAGGAAATTATTTGGAATTACAGTGCCTTCAAGTGTTCTTGGAGTGCACCCCATGCTCTTTCTGAGAGTCCTCCAGATGTGTATGTGGCGGCACCCTCAAAATGCACCTCTGCCTTACAAAGGATACAGGTGAATCCTCTGCTCTGAGGCAAAATACATCTCTTGAACAGAACCTTCACTTGTAATTGTTTGGCATGCCTTTAATCTTGTTGCCCACATTGTGCAGGGATGAAGATTGGGAAGACAATGATGGGGCTTTGAACACAATCTCTATGACACACCCCCGCATTCCCATCGAGCATCCACACCGTTTTGTAGTGGACGATTCTGACTGCCATCCTTTGCAACCTGGGATATGGTTGGTGCTATAATTCAGACTTTTCTGTCAAACTTTTAAGTTGCTTGTTTCTTAGTTATTTCATGAGAAGTACACCTGTTGTGTCATGAATTTGCTCTCATGATAATACTTAGCAAGTTCAACACTGAATCCAACTGGTCAACTGTTAGGCTTTCAAGTGACTTCATTTATTTACTATCGCTCTTCACTAACGGAAACATAATTGCTCCATTGATTTCTGCAGGTATTACAAGATTATTGAAGCTGACCACATTCTATTCATTGTGAATCGGGAAAGAGCTGGAGCGCAGTTCGATTTGCTGTACGATGGCATTTTTCAGCGCTGCAGAAAGCATGCCTTTAGGAAGAGCCCACCTACTGTACCAAACGAAACAAGTCAATAGCGGAACTAAGTCAAAGTATTTGTAGGTAGTACATAGGAAGAAGAGAAACAAGGTGCCACAGCATTTTCATTAACTGTAAATTATATTGTTGATTGAACGGGAATAGCATATTTGCTTCTCCAATTCTTGGAACGGGGTTCATGGAGACTGGGAACTTGCATTCTTCCTTGTCAGATACTCCGACTGCCAAGTTAATGCTTCGCCATACAGTCTAATGCAAGGAGATTTGCCTTGTGTTGATTTACCATGAATGGACAGGAGACGATGGATCCATTGCAGTTGCCCTATGACCTGACTGTAGCTATGATAAGTTCACATCCGTCCAAAAAGTGATATGTAGATATAGATGGTTCTACGGATGGTGTAACATTGTAGAATTGTAGTAGTTGCAGGGTTTAGTGAAGAAAAGTGGTTCATGAATTATGATTTCCATTCGGTGGCAATTATAAGAATTGGATATCTTTGTTTGCCAGGTGTCTCCTGGCGGCCAGCTGGAAATGCAGGTATAAGTATCATCTATGGTTGTTACCAGTAGCACCAAACACATCTTTTTCCCTTCTCGTGTGATACATCATACATTGTGTTTTCTTCTTTGCCTTTCGTTTATTGCAAGGCCTTCAATGATAGAGATGTCTCGTCAGCTCTCAATCATGTTAGGCAACTGGATGCTTACAGTTGCTGTGTTGTCTGTCGTGACCGCATGAACACTGACTACTTGATGTCGCTCGATCGCTCCCTGTGCTTGGATTTTCAATTACTCCAACCATTCTAAATTATTGTTCACTTTGTCTTTAACTTTTATCAAGGTTTTAGAAAAAAAAATGTTGTTAACATTGAAAAGAAACTAATTTGATGTTGAAATAAATTTGACTTGGGAGAAAATCAAAGTGGAACGTTTGGAGGTCGCGGCATTTGGAGAGTGAGAAGCCTGGTTAACGTGTGGCAATAGAGGGCGGAGCGCCTGGAGAGAGAGAGATGTCGAGGCCTCGGTCAGTCGGTCCTGTATCTGTGCTTTTGGCCAACGGAACGTGGGAAGAAGGCAAGAAGCACTTAAGGCCAACCGAGACTTGTAGAGAGACAGGCTTCAAGATGCTAGCTGAGGCCACGGCCAGAACACTGGATGCCGTCCACGCTGCAGATCGGTATGTGCCGAATCTGGTATAAAAAAAAACAAAGACTACTATGGTAGATTTCTTTGAAGAAAGGGTTTGTGTGGCGAATAACAGTCGTCCATGGATTTTCAGTATGTTGAGGAACGAGGAGGAAATTTCAGTATGTTGAGGAATGAGGACCCATGGGGGCATGGGGCCATTGTACATTGTTGGAATCACGGTTCCACAGTATTGCTCTTGCACCTGTGTCTATCACGATCACAACTTAATGCTGGAAACCTAGACAACAGGAATGACATGCTATAATTTTATTGCCCGTGCGACAAGGAGAAAGGGGAAGCACGTAATCTGGCAGTACTTGAGGCATTTCACGAAGAACCGATTTTCATTTTCCAGGCTCAGGTGTCGGTAAAAAAATCGAGAGGTGGCTCGTCAGAAGAAAAGAGTCGAGATAGATCCAGCTGGTGAGAGCTAGGGATGCAAGTGGGCTTTGGGTTGCCAGGCTTTGCATCTAGTGAGAGCAGTCGATACGCATCCCTGTTCTTTGAGACCAAATCTTTGGATATACGTTTCAAACGAGATGCATAACATTCTCCGAGGCGTATGCCAATAAAACCCACTGCAGTGAGAAATGAGAATAGCACAATTGTATGCCAATAGTTCAGACCCACTCTTTGCAGCAATGCAGCTATGTTCCATTAACTGATGCACTATTTTAGCAGTTTACACACCCAAACATTAGCAGGTCAGAACTTCCGGCGCCTGTACTTACAGTCTGAAAAACAGACGATGCCAGTTATGCACAGGTGGAAAAGCACCTGTGTGTTAGTTCCCTTCCAAAAGAATCAGATGCACAAGCTATGCCTCAACTTAACAAAGCGCATATGATACAGAGGAGAGCGGCACGGGAAATTAGAATATGGCCCCGTTCGCTTCGCTGAAAAACAAGCCGAAACACTGTTCCGACTGATTTGTCGTGAGAGAAAAACACTGTTCCGGCTGAAAAAAAACAAGCTGAAAAGTACGGATGATAAGACAAGCGAACATGGCCTATCTGATCTAACATCAACTACAATGCGGAGTCACTCGACAAGTACCTCTTCACTGGAGCTGCAAGCACCCCTACCCCATGCGGATGGAAAAGAACAAGGCAAGCTGTGAAACACAAAACAGCCGCAACTACCACAGTCGTGACAAGTCGCATTCTCGTGGCACCACCAGGATAAGTAACAATTAGTGAGGGCTTAAGCCACCTAGCAGTCATATCAGGCTGGCAGCATTGCCGGTGTGAGACATCTCTAGTCACAAGTGGCATAGTTTCTTCCTCATCAGCTGAGTTCAACTTGTTATCAGCACCAATATCAGTGTTCTACAAAGAGTTCCAAACATAAATTAGTTAACATGGATACCACAAAAATGTAGAAGCTCAAAACAATACTGGGATAATATAGCATGAAATCAATACTTCCATGAAAGGAAAGTAGTCTCTGCCATCAGAATCTGGGGGCTGTTTGGTTCCTTTGGCTGGGGGCAAGGAAAGGTGGTGCTTTTTGGTTCCCAACTCTATCTTCTTCCCAACAGAATCTAACTGCAGTGGTTCTAGCACTTGGGCGCCTAGCTATGGATCATAAATTGTCCGATTAATTGAACTCAGATGATAAAACAGATATTGAGGCCAGGGGCAGTGCTGCGAAGGCTGCAGCACCAGGCTTGCCGGTAGAACCCTTAAGAGAAATATAAGCCTATAAAATCATCCCTAGGAGAAAAATAAGACTAAAAATCAAAATTCAATCTATTTTCAATCAATCCAGCACCCCTTGTCTAGTCCATCACCCCCTGTACAACTTATATGGCTCCTCCACAACTGATCGAGGTTACATACCCAACAAACAAATGCATCTGCATACCCTACTGCATTAATTTTGTTCATGGCAGAGTGTATTTCGAGCATAAACAACTAAAGCTTTTGAATAAAAGATAAAACTTGATACATTTTTCTTTTTCTCAAGCTGCGCCTTTGATGTATTTTCATATGGTGACAGATGGTGAAAGGGCACAGAGGTAGCTTCATATCATGAGCAGGAAATATGACATGATTATATTTCTCACGGGCAGTCACCATTTCCCAGTTCGTCACCCCAATTTCTCTTAATAGCATGAATAAATTAATTAATAGCTGTTTGATAGATGCTTTGGCTGACTTGGAATGTCAATACCGAGCTGGGGGGCAGCTGGTAAAATCTTAGGCCAAAAAACTGGGAACGAACCTTGAGTTATGACAGTAGGTTGGCATATGGAAATGTTTCATTGAAAGTTTCTAGTTACTTATTCATTCATAAAAGTCAAAAGAACGATGCACCAAAGGTGAAGCATCAACCTATTTTACATTTTTAATTATCACAAAAAAAAATCTTTGCAACATAGTAGCACTTACTTCACTAGCAAGTGGCAACGAAGCGCCTAAGCTTGGCTGATTTGGAGAATTAACACTAATGCCTCCTGTTTCAATCTGTGTTTTCTCATCATGGTTAGCTCTACGATCAACAATGTTCCGAGCATGGCTTACATATCCAAGAAATGCTGTTACATGATCTTCCAATCTCCCCCTTTCCAAGTTTGAAAGAACCTCTGAACCCATGATGCTGTCCATTGACTTCACAATTATTTCCAGAACATTGATAAAATCATTTTGTATCAAGAACTTCAAGATGCATATCCATCTCTGGATATTTGTTGAACTCAGCACATTTTTAAATTCGTCAGGAGTAGGCTTTCTGATAAGCCATCCAATGTCTATCAAGAATCCAGACATCACAGAACTATGAAGTTTCCGACGCTCATGAGGATCAGAAGAGGCACTGAGTAACTCACCAAGTACATTATTTTTACTGTAAGAACCACAAAGAGCATCCTGTATCCTCTCTAGTTCAGAACACAACTGTTTGCTACCAAAAAGGATAGGAACAAAATTTGATAACCCAAATATGTTTTCGACCTGCAAAAGAGAATCCATATAGTCTAAACATTAAAAGTTCAGTAACCATATACAGCAAACATAATTTGTTAAACTGACAGTGGACCATTGTCATGTAACCAGATAAATAATTGCTGAAACATTGTTAGTTGAAACTATGGAACAACAACAAAGTATTAGCTTGTCGCTTCTGGCACTAGACAGTTAGCGACAGAATGAATCCCAGTAAAATAACCTAACAAGTAAACTTTGATGTGAGGTCCTCTTTGAATTATGTATTCGGAAGTGTTGTTCTACTATGAAATTTTAGTTACACAGACCTCCACTAGAGTACCTATCAACCTACTGGATAAGCTGAAGTAATCACCCCATTATATTAGATTATAAAGAGAATCCATCATCTTTACTGAAATTCTTTCAGAAAATCCAAACTACACATCACTGACAGCTAATCTGATATGGATACATTAAACAGCATTCAAGGGTTGGGGTTGGGGTGGTGGTGGGGGGGTGGGTGGGTGGGTGGGTGGGTGGGGGGGGGGGGTATATTAAGTATTAAAAGGTGTTCAGTTATACTTCTTATTGTTTTATCATCTCGTATTCCTCCTTCCATCACAAGGCTCTTGGCTACATTAAAACCAATTAAAGTTAAAGTTATATGCAGACATATATAGAACACTGTAAAAGCTAAGAAGTCCTTTTAAAGCATATTCAAAATGCATTCTGCTCATGCTATGAAGTAGGCCTGCTAATGGGATTAAACCCGCCCCAACCCATTGTTCTAACATCTGCTGCAAACCCATCCCCACCCAAAATTCTAATTAGTGAACCCACCCCACCCTTTGCCTTCTGTCAGCCCGCTCCACGCTTCATCTCCTCACGAATCTAATCAGAGCTGTTGTTCGGTTCCTTCTTCTCACCCATACGGCCAACACATCTGCGATGATGCAGAACTCGCTGCCACCACCGTGATCGTCCAAGCCGTCCATGCCAAGACACATACCATCCCACCACAAGAAGCGCTAGGCAGCGGCGATGACGAGGTGGATCCCATCGATCCCTCTCTATTTTTTGGGTACATCTGGTGGAGAGAATGGAGAGAATGCAGCCTCGGAGTCCACCAACAAGCCACTTAACGTATCAATCTCACCTCTTTCTCTGTTTTTTGGTATGACAAAAATCTTGTTGGCAAAATTTTGGAGTTGAAATTAATAGCAGATTTTGTTAATGAGTATAGATGGAGATGCCCTCCCTATACCTGACACCTCTGTTTTTCTCATTCTGTGCGCTGCCGCCACCCCTGCCGTTGTGTGAGCTCGCCGATGTGTTCCACAACCACTGGTGCGTTGATGAATCACTCATCTACTTCCCCACCAGAGAAGCGCTTCAGCTGGGTCAGCGCCTCAACCCGGCAGTGCATCTACGGCCTGCTAGGGTTGGGAGCTAACAACGACCCGCGTGTGCAGCGATGCACGTCTACACCCATTCCAACCAGCATATGCAGTAGACCTAACCCGCCCCAACCCGCAAGTTCATAAAACACGTTTCCACCGATCCAAACTAACCCCATATTCGAACCCAATCCATAAAACCCACTTTGACCCGCCCTGTTAGCAGCTCTACTATGAAGTTGTGTAAGCTTAATTTAAGGCTTTTTCTTTGTGAATAGCTTAATTTTAAGATTAATCAGGTTAACCAGAACGCTTCTATTGTAAAAGATAAATCTACCTGCCACATGTTAGTATTGTATAGAAAATTTGCAAAGAAAAATCTTGAACTCATTGTCATGTTTCAGTGCACACTTTGTATTTTATCTTTAACTTGGATCACAGATTGAAACTAGATTCTATACAAGTTAATAAAACTAGATTAAAACTTAAAAGCATCGGATGGAGAAAAACTGTAATACCCAGAAAATTTGCATTTTTCCAAAATAGATAAAATGATTTATTAAGCATTTTGTGAGCATTGAACCTAGGGAAATAATAATTTTTATGGAATTAAAATCAAACATAAGGTTAAAAACTTCTTGATGCATACATGCTACTGCATATTTATTTTTGTGATGATTGGTCTTCATTCAAAGTTCAAATGAATTCAAATTCAATTTGAAAATCATTTGGAAAATTTATTTGGAAAAAAATAAAGGAAATAACCTCCTCTCTCTCAATTCCGGCCTGCTGGCCCAGCTCCCTCCGCGCTAGCCCAGCCCCGTTGGCCCGCTCGCCATTCCCTTTTCCCCCTCCTCCCGTTTTCTCCTGGGCCGGCCCACCCGAGCTGGCATTGCCTCGTGCGGCCCAGCAGCGCGTCGGCCCAGCTCCGCAGCAACCGCTGCCGCGCCTCCGCCCCACGCCCAGCCACTGCCATCCCGGCCCCGCCCGTCAGAGCCGCCCCCAACCTCCCGCTCGCCCCGCGCCCGGTCCAACGGGTCAAGCCGCAACCGCCGCTCCACTTCGCGTCGTGGGCGCGTCCTCCTGAGCGCCCGGCCTCTACAAAACGGCGCCGAGCCCTTCCCCGCTCTCCCTGCTGTTCCTTTCTCCCTCTCGTGTCGCCCGTGCCTGAGGTAACCGCCACGCCGAGGATCACCGGTTCCGCCGCCTGCCTCTCCGCGCGAACCACCGTCCCCGAGCCGCCTCCGCCCCTTTTTTCCCCGCGGTGAGAACCCTCTCGCTCCCCTCTCTCTCCCCGTGCTGTCTATTTCGCGTTTCATGGCTTCTTGTGGCTGTGTTGCGTGCGCCGCGAGCTTTCGGCCGCCGGCCATGGCGACCGTCGCCTCAGCCGCGCCCTCCCGCCGCCTTCTTGGCCTGGACGGGTTCGCGAGAACCCCCGCTACTCCCCGGTGCTCTCGATTCTTCGAACCGTGGCCCGTAGGCCCCTAACCGCGCGCGCCGGTGACCTCCATGCCACCGGCCATGGAGCTTGCCGCCGGTGTCACTGTGCCGGCCAGACCCCCCCCCTTTTCTTCCTTCCCCAGAGCCGATCCAAGCCGTCCATCTCCAGATCTACGGCCAGGATTAGAAGATACTCTTTCGCGTGTAACTTTGCTAAAGAGTCCCTCGGTTTCGGATGAATTGAACCCGCCGTCCCTAGCGTAGTTTCCAGAGTACGTTTTCTCGTTTTGAAAACATAAAGTGCACTGTTTTAGTTCAAAATACGTTTTCAGTATTTACAGAAATGCCACTAGATTTGTTTTGCTCATAAAAACTTCGTTTTAGCTCCGAATTGACCCGTTCAAATTGCGTTAGCTTCATAATTTCATAATCTACGTGTTAGTACCACTGTTAATCATGTTTGCAACTTTTAAATTTCATGGTTAGATTTAATTAAATAAATTGCTATAGGAAACCCCGTTTAATTCATAACTTTCGCGTTTTAGCTCCGTTTTTCGTGAACTTCGTGTTGACGTGATCGTAGCGAGACGTAGATTATTTTCATAAACATTTTATCTTGTTTTCTATACTGTTGGTGTACTGTTCTAATTATAGGGATGTTTGCTTTGCATGAATGCCTTTGGAATGTTGTATGTTGCCGTGTTGGTCGTGTTCAGACGGTGAGGAAAACGTTGGAGACCAAGAGTTCTTCGACGACTAGCAGGATCAGCAGGAGTTTGCTAACCAAGGCAAGTATAGCATGGGATCTACCTTGATGCCTATTCACCTTTATTAATTACTCATTTGCATGTGTCTAATTTTGATACCCGTAAGGACATCCTAGTGATTGAATATCCTGCTCCTTGTCTCCTATGGGTTATATGCATATGGGTAGTTTGCTAGCGCTCAATATAAATGTACATGATCTACATAATGAATGATGGTTCTATGAAACGAAAAGGTAAAATTTGCGTTGAAACAACTGATTTATTGGGCGATCGAGCAAATAACTTTTGATCATGATGCTCTCGGCCCTCCATAAGGACTTATCTGTCGGCAAAAGCTGGGATTGACAATGCAACCGTGAGGGTCATATGGCTCTGACTTTAACTCAGTAATAGGACCTTTTCTAGCTTGTTAGAGGTTACCTTTATGGCGCAAAAGGGGCTTGCCACGTTGGGTATAGGACTGCCTCTGTTCCTATGTGTATAGCTGCGATGGATATGTGCCATAGGAAAGGGGGTTCCTACATCTGCCTGCCAAAGAAACCTAGCGGCCCTAACTTGTTAGAGAAACCTATGAAATGGCTTCATAGTGTACCCTGCCCGCTCACCTTGGCAGTGATATGGGAGTAATTAACCCGGGCATATGAGAATCACGACTCACGGTGAATGTGCACCACCTCTGCAGAGGGTTACAAACTGTTATAACAGCCGTGCTCACGGTCACGAGCGGCCCGGAAAACTCACAGAATAGATGGCTACTTATAATGTTGTTTACACGAGATGATTATGATGATATTATGATGATGTTACATGACTTAATTGGATCGGATATATGATCATGTGGGTTTAAATGGGAGCCTAAGCATAACTTGATAATAACTGATGATAAAATCTTGACTTATTAAAAGTGCTAACTGCAGTAAACCAGTGTCATCTTTTTTGAGCCTCATGAACCCTATGTTATCTTGTTAAGTACGGGACGTACTTACGCTTGTTTACTTTCTATATTTGGAGAAAAATCCCGGATGGGTAACAGATGACAACGTGTATGAGGAGTTTCTGGAGGATTATTAGGCTTGTGGTCAACCAGTTGACCGTCCCTGTGTTGGAGCTTCCACGTGAGAGCTACCTTTTTAATTTCCGCTGTGTTATGTAAGACTATTTTATGGTATTACTCGTGATGTAAGATACACCGTGATGATACTTTTGTAATTTGTCAACTTATGTGTGTGACTGATCCCTGGGCACACATGAGTTTAGTGCATTCAATTTTATCCTTAAAATTGGGTGCGACAAAAACATTTAATAAAATAGGATGCTCCAGACTATAGTTTAATGATGAAATTGGTCAAAACTGCCAATGAAAACAATACTTACTTCCACAAATGCGGGTCCATGAATATCTGGTCTTGATTGAGTGATCTTAATTCGGAAAATTTCATGTTGAGAATCAGGAATAAGATCACCATTCTCGACACGGTCAAAGGTATCATGAGATGTTAAACGGTAGCAATCATGCTTCAAATAGTCCCCATCAAAAGACAGAAGTGACCTACCATAAGAACAAAATTCAATAAATTCTACATTCTTCATAGCCACAATTCAAGCAGACAGCTGCCAGCTAAGAAATAGATTCTATACAGGAAAAAAAATATCACAGATTGATTCACTTTATACAGACTAGCAAACATATCCATGTGTATCAATTTTGCACAAGTTTCATAGTTGGTTATAAAAACAAATTCAACAATAAGGATGTATGGTGAATAAAGTATAGCTACACTTGTTTTATTAAAAGAAATTAAATCCTTTTTGCTACATGCAGATTGAGCATAACCACATCCAATATAACACATTATACATAGGTATTATGTATATGTAAAACCAGACTATAACATAAAGAGTGCCTTTGTTGCATAGAAGCCAAATATAAGCATCGTTTCAACTTCATGGATTATCCATATGATTCGGACAAGAGAAGACTGGCTACTGCTGGTGATTTTGGATTCAAAAGGGTGGCATTATGCTTCTTACATCTCACAGGAATAAATGCTGTGCTAAATCTCGAACATTCATTTGCTACAAAATTTGGAATGAAAATCATGAAAAGAACAAGCATTAAACTTTTGGTAATTACTTGTTCTATTCCATGCAGAAAGCACCAATTTCTAGACATTTTGTGCATGAAATATGACCGGATAAAATAAATTGAGCATTGCTGTTATTTAGCACTCAAATTCATTTCAGTGTTTCTTCAGATTGATCAGAATAGACTGGAATCCGAGAGTGTTATTGTAAAATTTGATCAACTACACATGGTTATTGAAACAATATTTTTGTTTTTTCCAACACACTAAACAGCACAAGTTTGCCTTTGGCGCATTCATAGGTATTTCGGTTGGGAAATGAAATTAATACAAGTAAATTTATTCCAATAAAAAATAGCAATAAAATAAAAACACGTAAGTCAACACCAAGATATGTCACAACAGATATTGTCAGATATGCTAGTAAAGTTCAGCATAAAACAAGGTTGTCCAACACCCAAGCTATTTTGTAGGGGTTCAAGTGTTCAACAGATACAATGGCTTACTGTTTCAAAAGGATTACAACAGAGCTTGTACCTGAAGTTCGGTTGGTCAAGAGAACTTCCATAAAGGATAAGATCGACAGGTTTCCCTGCTTCAAACCATGTTGGATGAACATAATCAATCCTTGGGGCTTGTACATCTAATCTGGTACTCATCAATGTTGCTCCATCTTATGTGCAACCGATAAAAAAAACAGATTATTAGTCAGGTATTTATTTCATGGCAATAATGGAAGTGCAATAAGCTACTGAATTTAACTATACAAGTTCCCTCATCAATTCCAGTTAAACATGAGATGAATTGATATTATGACAACCTTATGAATATGAACATAGTATGATATTCACTATGCCAAAAATGCAAAAAGAAGACACTTAATTCGGTGTATCTAACTGATGCTTGCTGTTCTATGTAGGGATGAGCTAGCAACCTCTGTCAGTTCTTAAATTAGATGGCTGCAGTAGGCTTTGGTTTTATCATATTAGCTCTTCAAGCCTTTCAACGCTTTGGATGTCAGGTGTTTCTTCTCTTACCAAAGCGATTATGTTGAGATATTACTGCAATTTATTTGCTATGCAATTCTCTAATCTGTTATGAGGACCAGATCTATTTGGAATCGAGTTATTATGAATAATGATTAGTCTTATGAGAACAATAATGTGCCTGTAAGTATAGGTCGCAAGGAGTCTTGCATCCAACAGTTGAAGAAAAAATAGATTGTAGTCATGAGATAAATAATAATTTGTGTTGGAGGGCAAAGGTCTCTGAGCAGGTACTACCGTAATAGCAGAGATAAGATGCAAAAGAATGTTTTTCCATATGCACAAAGCACAATTAAAAACTTCTAAGATAGCATATATTTACAATAATATACTATGCATGTCACTACAGGACGCATGGAGCTTTGCATCCAAATATAGGAAAGTAAATCAGCTATCTAGTAATGTGAAATAAATGACCATTCTTATGTGCTGAGGAAAGGTTTTTCGGCAAGGTGTTTGCACATAATAAGCAAAGAACATTAAATTTCATTGGTATAACTGAAATCTGAACTTCTTCTGATAGCCCTGAGCCTGTGATTGATCCAAGGCAATGAATATTCACATGTACGAACACGGTAATTCAGGTACCATGTAGAATCGATATAGTTACAAGCACAAATTATTATGTCATACCATAGTAACAAGTTGCTGCATACACACCTTTTAGTACTTGAAATAACATGTTATTGACATGAATGAAGAAGGCCCCTTTACCCAACAGAAGACTGTTTGGGGAATTTACCAAGTTTCTAAGAAGATCTGCTGCATCATCTGATAACTGTAAAAAATTACGCAATTTATTAGCAACACATGGTTTTTGTTACGATGCAATCATAAATTGTTAACAATACAAGTGCAAAAAAATAAGAAGAAAAGAAAAACTGCAAGTGAGAGTTCATCTACAAAATTAGCACATCAATGGGAAAGTCTGGAAAATCCTTGTGCGTGGTTTGAAGACTATGATAGGTGTTTCGTTTTTAAAGGGAAAAAAAGGGACACAAAGAAAACAAATTTCTGTTTAGAACTTCAGCTTGGTGCCTCCCCCGCTACTTCAACAATAGTTTCTTCATTAAACCCTGCCCTTTTTCGGGACACCAACAACTCCAATGCACCCATTGAGAAACCTAACTAGCGATTTGCCCATGTATTTTTCCACTTTGCATGGTGGCCGCTATTTGGTTGAGCAATTGAAGCCACTGTCTTCCCCTACTGTCAAATGCTGTTAGTTTAAGAAAATTAAAACAGATGGGAAAACATACCAGGATTTTTCAATAAATGGTTTGGATATAAAGCTAAAAGTGAATAGAGCTTGAAGTAATTTTTCATTAGTACAACTGACTGAGTTCTTTGTTGTACAATTAACTACCTATTAAAGTCACTTCCGTTTACACAGTTCTCTATCTATTGCTTCAACCTCCAAATAAATAAGCAATAGAATGTGTACCAGGATTTTGGAATTGCCAAGTTTGAATTTTAACCAACGTGCTGTAGGTTAAAGTTTTTGGTGTATTACTTCTCACGAGCTTGGGATCATCAATATCTTGTGACGCTTAGGATCATCAATATCTTGTGACAAAAACAATACAAGTTTACTTTTGGATTTTTTTAATAGTTTGATACTCACTGTTACCTCTGATGGATAAGTCTCATGTGTGGTCTTTGTGGGGCTGTACTGCTCACATGGTCCTTGTGGCTGTTTTTTCTGCTTTTAGGACAACATCTTAGACTAGAGGACAGTAGGACAGCATCTTAGACTAGAGGACAGTATCTTAGCTAGGACAGCATATTAGCATCTTAGACTAGCATCTTGGCATATGCTTGGCTGGCTAGCAGCCTATAAATATGTAACCCCAACCCCTCAGGTTGGCATGGCATTTGAGTAAGAAATAGACAAGAAAATTGCCCCAACTCCTAGTGTCATCCTCTCTCGATGAGAGTAAGAATTCTCCTACTACCAAGAGTGAGAATTCAGCGACTAACAAGTGGTATCGGAGCCAGATTATCTCAGAGCTCTGAGCATCTCCTCGCTCATCTCCTCTCCCACCACACAACAGCCCATTGAAAAGCAGCAGCCCGCCGCCGCCTCGCTGCTTCACTCCCCGCAGACGAGCGGCTGTCTGAAGCAGCCTCTCCCCACGCAGTTAGCCCCCCAGTAAGCGTCATGTCCGCAGGCGATCTCAGCGCTTCGGTCGCCGAGCACGCCTTGCGCGTCGGCAGAGGTCAACTTGCCGCGGCAGAGGAACGCGCGAAGCGAAGCGGCGGCGGCAAGACCGCCGCGGCAAGCAAGAAGGGCGCCGAGGTCGGTAATGGCGGAGCGGGCAGCAGAGCAGAGCGGAGGCGGAAGCGGCAAGGGCGGCGGCGACGCGGCAAGGTGGTGGCGGCGGAGGTCGAGGTTTCACGGCGGCAAAGCATCGGCAGCTCCATTTCCGCTGACGACACCGCCGACGCGGACCTCGAGCTGCTAGAGAGGGAGGCAGCGGCAGCGCTGGCGGCGGCGAAGGAAGCCGCCAAGACGCCACGAAAGCGTGGCGGCAGCCCAGACAAAGCGTGGACGCGGCTGGCGGCGCCTCGGAGGAGGCGCGCATGGCGGTGGCGCTCTGGGCAGCCGTGCACGCCACGAGCGGCGGCGGCAGCTTCAGACAAAGCGCGGGACGCGCGGTGGCGCTCTCCGAGAGAAAGCGCGCGCGGCGGCGGCGCCTCGGAGGAGGCGCGCGACGGCAATGGTGGCGGGACGGGTCGATGGAGAGCGCGGCCTTCACAGTGCGGCGTGGCTTCTCTCTCTCGGATCGGTACCGACGGGTCGATGGAGAGCGTGGCCTTTCACAGCGCTGCGTGGCTCTCTCCCCGGACGATCGGCACCGTGGTTACCATGAGCTCCGGTCGTTGTCGGGGACGTCGGTCCCGACGGTGGGTGGCCCTACCTCACCAAGACCAACTACGCCGAGTGGGCTGCGGTGATGAGGGTAAAGCTCAGTGCGGCACATGTGGGAGGCGGTCCGCACGGGCGACGTCGACCACGACCTAGATCGACGGGCGCTGGATGCGCTCATCGCCGTAGATCCACCGAGATGCGCTTCGCTTACCAAAGAAGCGGATCGCCAAGGAGGCTTGGGACGCCATCGCTGCGCACGACGATCGGCAGCGATCGCTACCAAGAAGTCCACACCGCGAGCACTTCGCAAGGAGTGGGAGAACGACCTTCAAGCCGGTGAGGACGTTGATGACTTTGCTCTCCGTCTCAACACTCATTGCAGAAGATGGTGCGATTCGCGGCGACGACACTTACGGCGAGGAGAGAGCTGTCGAAAAGCTCTTCCGGCTGCGCCCCCGAGAAGTGCTGAGCGGATGGCTCGCTCGATCGAAGTCTCTCGGCTGGATCTCTCCACGATGTCGATCGAGGAGGCGATAGGTCGCCTCAAGGTCGCCGACACGCCGATGAGCCACGCCCCCCTCGGGGCCCATCACCACTGGCGGGAAGCTCCTTCTCACTCGGGAGCAGTGGCTTGCCAGCCAGGGTGACCGGAGGAAGGGGGAGCCTTCTTCCGCGACAGGCGGCCGCAAGCGTGGCAAGCCGCGCAAGGCGCGCAGAGACGCCCAGGCTGGGGCGCGAGGACGTGCCGAGGGTGATGCCCGCGGAGGCGCCAGAAGCGGCGCGGCGGCAGCACAAGCCGCACGACGCGAGACGACACCTGCCGAATCGCGCCGCCTTTGGCCATTGGGAAGGATCGTCGACACCACGACGCGGCCAGCCCACGTCAGACAAAGCGGAAGGAGGAGGAACGGCTCGTTCATGGCACATGCCAAGATCGAAGCTACCTCCGGTGCGCACCGCCGCAGCTGTTCTCATCCACCTTGACGAGCCAAAAGCACATGCCCTCCTCGGCGACGGCAGCCAAGAACGACAAGACCGACGGGTGGTGCCTCGACACCGGCGCCACCCATCACATGACCGGTCGACGGAGTTCTTCACCGAGCTTGACTCTAGCGCCCAAGGCTCCAAATCAAGTTTGGGGATGCCTCCGGCGTGGAGATCAAGGGCGTCGGCTCCGTCATCTTCACTGCTGCGGTGTCCGGTGAGCACAGCCGCCACCGGAGTCTACTACATCCCGCGTTGAGGAACTCCATCATCGACTTTGGGACAATTTGGATGAGAATGGTTCGCGCGTGGTGGTTGAGGATGGAGTCATGAGGATTTGGGATCGCCGTCGCCGCCTTCTTGCCAAGGTATCCGTAAGTTTAAATCGACTTTTACATCCTTAACGCAGGTGTGGCACAACCCCTCTGTCTCTCGCCGCTCGTCGGGATGACGAGGCGTGGCGCAAGGGCACAGCGCCGGGCACCTTTCACTTCGAGGCCCCGGCGGCTCAAGATTACACGGAGATGGTGCGAGGCCTGCCGTGCCTTGACCATGTGGGAGAGCTACTCTGCGGCGTCTGCGTGTTGACGAAGCGAGGCGACTCCCCCTTTCCCGGTGGCGAGCCGAGCCAAGGAGAGGCTCGAGCTTGTGCACGGGACTTGTGTGGCCGGTGACACACCGGCCACACCGGGAGGACGACGCTACTTCCTGCGCCGCTCGTCGTCGACGACCTCTCCCGCTACATGTGGGTGATGGTCCTCGGCGGACAAAGGAGAGGTGCGGACGCCTTATCAGCGCTGCAAGCAGTCTTTGAGAGCGAGAGGTACCAAGAAGTCTGCAGCGTCTTGCGCGCAGACCGACAACGGCGGCGAATTCACACGGTGGTTGAATTCGCGTCGTCATTGCCGACGAGGCATTCAGCGCCACTACTCCGCTACCGCACACGCCCGCAGCAGCAGAGCAGCGGCGTCGTCGAGCGGCGCAACCAGACGGTTGTGGGGATGGCTCGGGCCCTCCTCAAGCAGAGGGGGATGCCGGCTATCTTCTGGGGAGAGGCGGTGGTGACGGCCGTCTACATCCTCAACCGCTCGCCTACCAAGGCACACTCGACGGCAGACACCGTGACGAGGCTTGGCATGGGCGTAAGCCGGCGGTCTCCCACTTGCGGGTCTTCTACCGCCGCCTCGCGTTCGCCAAGGAGCTTGGCCACATCAAGAAGCTCGACGGCGTGAGCACTCCGGAGTGTTCATCGGCTACGCGGAGGCTCGAAGGCCTCACCGTATCCTCGACCAAGACACGGCTGTGTGCGCAAGACGCGCATGACGTTGTGTTCGGACGTAAGGGCGAGGATGGGCGTGGGACAAGGCGGTGGACGATGGCTCGGCTCCGACGCACGGCGACTTCACTGTCGAGTACGCCCACTTTGAGGGAGCCGGGAGTAGGCGGCGGCTCTTCTTCGGCAAGCGCGTCTGCCTACCCCCGAGCCCCCGAGCCTCCACCGACCGGCGCACCTGCCATTCGGACAAGACCACACTCTCCACCAGACCTCGGTTGCGATGAGTTCTTCGCGGCTCCACTACGGTACCGGCAACGCCACAAGACTCCAAAGACCGACAGCACCACCTGCACGTCGTCTACTCCACCACCAGCTCGTGTCGAGCACGACCCGATTGAGTTTCGCCATCTCGCTCTCTCATGACGAGCGAGTCGCAGTCGATACCACGACGGCGAGCCGTTGCGGTACCGTGACGATGGAGAACCTTCTCGGCGACGATCACCGGTGTCGGGACCGGTGCCTCACGACTGGAGGCGCAGCTTGCACCTTGCGTGTGACGACGGCGAGCCTCGATCAGATGCAGAGGCCGAGAGACACGCGGCATGGAGCGCCGCGATGCGCTTGGAGATGGATGCGGTCGAGAAGAACCGCGCACTGGAGCTTGCCGACCTTCCTCGTGGTCACCGCGCGATCACCCTTAAGTGGGTGTTCAAGCTTAAGAGGATGAAGCCGGTGCCATCGCTCAAGCACAAGGCTCGCTTGGTGGCACGAGGTTTCGCGTGCAGAGAGGGGTCGACTTCGACGACGCCTTTGCTCCGTGTGGCACGGATGGAGTCCGTCGCGACTCCTCCTGCGCTTAGCCGCCCAAGAGGGGTGGCGTGTTCATCACATGGACGCCAAGTCGGCGTTCCTTAATGGCGACTTGAAGGAGGAGGTCTACACGTGCACCACCGCCGGATTTGCGATCCCCGGCAAGGAGGGCAAGGTGCTCGCTTGCGCAAGGCCCTCTATGGCTTGGCGGCAGAAGCGAGGGCGTGGAATGCCAAGTTGGATTCCACGCTAAAGGGATGGGCTTTGAGCAAAGCCCGCGACGAGGCGTGCCATCTACCGACGGGGGTGGAGGAACCGCCTTTCTGGCCGGTGGGTGTCTCGTCGACGACTTGGTGATCACCGGCACCAAGGATGCGGAGGTGGCGGCATTCAAGGAAGAGATGAAGGCCACCTTCCGGATGAGTGACCGGGGCCTCTCTCCTTCTACGGGCATCGAGGTGCACCGAGAATGACTCGGGGTCACACTTGACTGCATCGCCACGCCAAGCGCGTCGTTGAGCTAATTTGGGCTCACCGATCGCAACCCGCCTCTCACTCCGATGGAGGAGAGGTGAAAGTCGAGCCGCGACAAAGACGACGGAGGAGGTGGACGCCACGCAGAGCGATCTGCGGCGTCTTGTGGGGAGCCTTCGCTACCTCGCCCACACACGGCCGGACTTGGCATTCTCCGTCGGCAACGTTAGTCGGTTCATGCAACGACCGACGACGACGGAGCACCAAAGAAGGTGTGAAGAGGATCATCCGCTATGTTGCGGGGACTCTCGACCACGGCCTCTACTACCCGAGGTGCCCCACAGGCGGCACACTTTGTCTGCATAAATGACGGCGACCACGCCCGGCGACATCGACACCAAAGAAGAGCACGAGCGGGATCCTCTTCTTCTCGGCAAGTGCCTCGTTAGTCGGCGATCGGTCAAGCGGCAGGTGGGTGGCCCTGCCCATTGCGAGGCCGAGTACATAGCGGCCTCCCGCGCTCGACTCAGTGCTCTGCTCTGCTCGCCGACCGCTTGGTGATCTCCTCGGCAGAGACACTAGAGTGGTGGAGCTGGGGTGGACAACAAGTCCGCGCCTGCCCCGGGCAAAGAACCCCGTGTTCCATTTAACGCAGCAAGCACATCCGGGTGAGGTACCACTTCATCCGAGGCTGTTTGGAGGAAGGGAGCATCAAGGCGAAGCTACATCAACACCAAGGACCAGCTTATGGACTGCTCACCAAGCCCCTTGGGAGGATCAAGTTCCTTGAGCTCTGCTCCGGGGACTGGATGGTTCAACTCTCCCACAAGACGCACGCACAAGACTAGGGGGAGAATGATGGATAAGTCTCATGTGTGGTCTTTGTGGGGCTATACTGCTCACATGGTCCTTGTGGCTGTTTTTTCTGCTTTTAGGACAGCATCTTAGACTAGAGGACAGCAGGACAGCATCTTAGAGGACAACATCTTAGACTAGAGGACAGCATCTTAGCTAGGACAACATATTAGCATCTTAGACTAACATCTTAGACTAGCATCTTGGCATATGCTTGGCTGGCTAGCAGCCTATAAATATGTAACCCCAACCCTTTAGGTTGGCATGGCATTTGAGTAAGAAATAGACAAGAAAATTGCCCCAACTCCTAGTGTCATCCTCTCTCGATGAGAGTAAGAATTCTCCTACTACCAAGAGTGAGAATTCAGCGACTAACAACCTCTACCATAGCACAGCGCCACAGCATGATTGGCTTAAGCTACAGGGGTGTTTAGATTCCTCCTTGAGCTTGCCTAGCAAAGCAAGGAGAAGCTAGCCTATCTCTGGAAAGCAAGGAAAGTAAGCTCGAGGGTTTGGCAGCAAACTTTATCAATGCAGAACAACTTATTCAGCTCTCTGGAGCTTGCAAAGGTTTTCTTTGTTTAAGCAAGAGATGCCTAGCACTACCAGTGAAAGTTGTTGCTGTTACAAATACCAAGAAATGCTTTTTGAAAAGACTCCAACCTACAGGTTCCAGATAAACATTAACAATGGACGAACGATAGATCCCAGGAACATATACTTCAAACAAACCAATCAACAGTGAACATATGACAACTGATAAATAATGACTGGCGAACTTCAGTGAGAATAATAATATATATCCATATGCAGGCAAAGTAATAAAATTAGAATACTTTCATTCTGATTTCTGCATGGTATGCTGGTAAAATCACAAAAGTAAATAGTACGCTGGAATTTTTTGCACCAAATATATACTCCCTCCGCTCACAAAAGGATGCAACTATGGGATTTGTCCCAGTCAAATTAGCTTAACTTTGACCAAGTTTATAGTAAATAGTATTAAAACTTATGTCTCCAACTAGGTTTACTATGAGAATAGATTTCATAATTAAATTAATGATACTTATTTTGTATTACAAATGTTAGTACTTTTTTATATAACTATAGTCAAACTTCAAATCGTTTGATTCCTCAAAAAATGAGAATTGCATCCTTTTGTGATCAGAGGTAGCACTTCACTTTTCAAGTTGTTAATTAAAACATGTTACTAGTCAGAAGTGGCAGGTGATGATAATACGCATGTAGTAGGAACATCTGTAATCTATCTGGAATGGGGCCACTATGACAGATTTATAGCAAGCCGTTCATAACTGATACTCCCTCTGTTCCAAATTATAAGTTATTTTGGCTTTTCTAGGTACATAGCTTTTGCTATGTATCTAGACATAGTGTAGTATCTAGGTGCATAACAAAAACTATGTATCTAGAAAAGCCAAAACGACTTATAGTTTGGAACAGAGGGAGTACATGGTAAAAGAAAATAATACAAAACTATTCAGCATCTGTTCATTTGACTTGAAAAGATAACTGTGTTGTGTAATAAAAAAAAATATGGCATACCTTGTCCCACATATGCTGCGGCATTGCAATAAATACAGTTAAAATAGTACAACCCGGACGAATGTAGCCCTCCAATTCAACAGGCATGTTAGCCAACCACTCGAAGATCTACACATTCACATATAGCATCCCTTCAAAACAATATAGTTCTATGTTAAATGAACTTATAGCAAGACTATACCTGGTGTCGTAGGTGTCGAGGAAATTCTGCAGGATTCCAGTCATACAACTTGAACGAAATGCGCCCTGTTGGACACTAGAATGGATGGTATAACATTACTACAACCATTAGAGTGGAAGGAATGAAAAGCTCCATCAAACTAAACAGATTGCAACTGCAGAATCATAAATATTAATATAAATAAACAACTTCATGAGAACAAAGAAAAGGGCCTACCGAGGATGAATAGGCACTCTTGGTGTCATGCATTGGGGAATTGGCAAGTTTTACACTTTCCTGCTTTGCACCAATGCAGGCTTCAACAGAAGCTGCAAAAGTCACTACACTTTTACTTTGGTCATTTTGCAAACTTTTACTTTGGTCATTTTGCAAACCAGGTTGTGTACAGGTTGGTGAACTAAGCACATCTTCAGATCCCACAGGTGTTTCTCGGTCCAACACCTTGTTGCTAAGAACAGTCTCAAGCATCTCACTGGTTGTGCCTTCCATGTTCTCTGCACAAAATTAATAAGTCAACAAAGACATCGTACACTGGACAACACAAACTGCAGAATGATCAGATTAAACTACAGTATAATAGGCTGTTTACTCGGATAAGACCATAGATGAACCCACACTATCAGTATAGTATCCTAACCAAATCATAAAGTATTGACTATTGAGTTGGACTGGACTAAGGAAACCCATGTTAACCAAATACTCATACCCTAGCTAATAAAATATTATATAAACAGTGAAGCCATTTTCACGGGAAGTAAAATACGCTAACCATATCTTTGCAAGGTATTAACATCAAAAGATTACTTTCCTTTTCTCCACTTTTTTTTGAAGCTTCTCCACTTATTTTGAATAGTAAGATGTTGCTGTTATACTTAAATACAGAATATTCTGTTGTGGGTTTGTGGCTAACCTATACTTAGAAATGGGAAATGTATTTGTGATATTTGTGACCTATTGATAGGTAAACAGCCATGAATTGTTCTTTTTTCAGTGTGCATGTATAATCAGATAAACAATATGATAGGCAGCTATCCTGCTGTTTTTTTTAAGAAAAACCTAATAGCTGCAATATTCCTAAGGCGGCAAGTCGAGATGTGGAGACTAGGCCCCTTCCTACCACCTAGGCACTTAGGTAAGGTGGTAAGGTTGGGCCAGGCGATGCCGTAAACTATATTCTTGAACCCTATATAGTATAGTAAAAGATTAAAAAAATGGAAACAGACTGGGCCATCCCAAAATATCCAGCTCATCACCCTTGCTAGACCAATGAAGCCCAGCAAAAGCCTGACCCAAATACAACCCTCAACAGCCAAGAGCCAACACATGTATGTTCCTCCAAGGCAACCCCTAGTCGCACTGGCTCATCTAGCAGTGCCACTTAGATCTCCCCAACCACATCAAGGAGCACTTCTTCCTCTATCCCCCTTGCTGCCACCACCACTGAAGGAAGCCTATCTCTGCATATGATCCCCTACCAAAGCCACCACTGCTGCCAGCTACTCCAGATCGGCCGCCGCCGCCAACTCTATCTGAAACAATTGCCACTGCAGTTGACTGGAGGGCTGCACCGACCATCGCCACCAGAGCCAGCAGAGACGCTAGAGGCTTCTGCTACCAGGCACTGCTGATTCCCTCCGGCTCCTCTTTGTATGTGAAACTCTCTTCAACTTCCCTCTCTCACTGATTTCAGTAAGGCGACACTGGCACCTTGCTGCCTAGGCGACACCTTAAAAAACCATGAATAGCTGAACCAATGATAAAAGTCACACTAAGCACTAAATAGGTAAAAATAACTCTTTTTCCTTAGCAAATTTGAAGAAATTGAATGGTATCACCTTCTCTAAGTTCACCATCGCCACTAACATCTCCTGACAGATCCAATTGTTCATCTATTTCTTTATCTAATGTTCCTTTGGAATCAGGTTTTCTTCGTCTTCTTTTGTTGTGACGCTCCAACTTTCTTCTACAACTTCTTTTATCTTCATCAAAATCTAGTAATACATGGAACCTGAAATGAAAATACATTTTCAAAAGGAAGCTAAGACACAAGATTATTACAACACACCATAATTCAAATTATAGCCATGACAAATTTATCAAATTGCTGTTTAAGTACCACTATGTAAACTGATCCAAATAACATCAAATGCTCAAAACAAGTCCTGCAGATATTCATTGGGAGTTGTGGCACTGGACGCCATCACAGTGACCCATACACTAGAGAAGCAACATTGTCAGGAGGAATTAGTTTAGTTAAGGAGACCTTCTATTATGGTTTAGTCTGTTTCAGAAAAGTTAGGATATCAATAGTTTATACTCTAGAGTCTGGAATCCAATATGTTAGAATCGGTTAGTATGTTGAGGGGATCCTCTCTAAAAGTAGAGGGGTACCAATCTCAGGGAGAAATAAACCAGCACCTGTATATAGATTGCTCTCTCCCCAGCATGTCTATTGCGCCTTCCCAGAATACACTTATCTAAACAGTTACCTGATTTGTGGTTTGCAGCATGTCATTTCATGGAAGTGATGTTCCCATGGGGTGTACCTTTTAGGTATGTAAATTAGTTATGGCCTTTTGGGTTTCATCTCCCCCTGTACGCCTATTTTGCATCCCATACCAAAGAGCTACCTCATTTGCTGTTTGGAGCATGCCACATCATGAAAGTAAGGCCATCAAGAAGGTATACCAATTTAGTTTGTGAATCAGGTACAGGGCCTGCAAACCTAGTAATTAACTAATTATGGTTCCCAATATGGTAATGCCCTACTCACACATGTACAATAAAAGTTCATAAACAACTTCAAGGAAACTTTTTGCCTCTTTTGTGTTTTGGCCCTATTAAAATTCACCCTAAGGGAGTATACATGCCACCAACCATAATTATGACTAATGTACAGTTCGTCAGCCATGCTCCTTCTCTCTTGATTTCCTTTTGTTCTTTGTTCAATTTGGGTTCATTAACCCCCGCCAAACAGGAGTGTATAAGAGCAACCGGGTGTACAGAGAATCAAATCTTGCACTCAATACGAGTGTGTCGTAAACTAATAACTCCAATCTTCTTTAGCGCTCTTTCCTGTTGTTACTGTAACCACACACTCTATCTAGTATCCTTAACTAGTACTCAATCGTGTTCTAATTCCAACACACGGCATAAGGATAAACACACATAACACTGCAAAGTAGTCAATCCGATGGCATTTCTGCATTACTATGTTCGTTAAGTGACCCAACATCCTTGTTGCAGCACCATACACCAATGGTATTTCTGCATTACTATCTGTTCGTTAAGTGACCCAACATCCTTGTGCCAACACCGTACACCAAAAGAATAAGCACCAAAGTGCACCATCGCTTTTCAAAATTAACAAGAATGAACGATGAGTTTAATCAGTGAATACTGCACAATATTTTGGTTACATCTTCATCAGTCAAGTGGACATGTATCAGTAACTAATTCGTTCTGCTTGGAAACAGGATTTAGTAGATTTACGAACTATATGGGTGCTGAGAAATGTATATTCTGCTACGATCTATTGTCAAGAAAAAGCTAACACTAAGACTAACCTTAAGTAAAGATGAGTTCTGAAAATACACCACAACAGGGTATACCCCTAAGGAAAGACTAAGAAGGAAAAAAAAATTAACATTGTACCATAATGTCTTGATGCAATCTAATCAACAGGAGCATAAAAAATCCATGAAATTCTAATAAAAAGAAAGCCTCTGAAAAAACACAAAGTTTGTACTTATCTTTGGATTAAAATCCAAACATCACATATGAATTCTGGGTCACTTTTGGATAAAAACGAAAGGCAATCAAACAATCACAAACGAACTTTAAACTGATACGAATGTGCGAAGCATGCTTGTGTATCCTACTGATACGAATTTGTTTCATGCCGATTAATAAAAACAGCTAGGAGTGGAGAAACTAGGGCTTACTTGCCGCACTGCTGGCAGTAGCGCTTCTGGACGCCATCGAGCATGACAGCAGCAGCGTGCGCGCAGCGCAGACACACACGGTGCCGGCGATGGTATCCTTTCAGCTCCCGTATGTCCGCCTCACATCCAGGCACTTGGCACTTCATCTCCGCCACCGCCGCGCGGACGGTTCCTCCTCCTGCAGCTCCGGCGGCAGCACCCGCAGCTCCCGCTTTGCCACGGCGAGCAGCAGCAGTCTTAGTCTTCTTCCGCGCGCCAGCCAGGAACTCCGTGGCCACGTCCTCCGCCTCGGCAGCGGCGACCATCTCGTCCACCTCGGGGCACGCGCACGGGACCCTCCCCGCGAGGTAGTTCGGGCACACGAGCCGCGGGTCCCGCTTCCTGACGCGGCGCCCGATCCCCTGAACCCGAAGAGGGGGCGGCGGAAGCACTGGCCCCGGTTCCGGCACCGTCTCCGGCTCCGGCTCCACCGGCTGCGGTAGCGGGGGCGAGGCGGGGAGCGGTGCCATGGCAGCCTCGGTGGGGTCGGCTGCTGCTATACCGGTGGTGTCATCCCACGGGAGGACCAGGAAGTCGTCATCCTGGACGACGAAGTCGAGGAGATTGCCCCAGTCCCAGATGGGCTCGCCGGCATCCGCCGCGCCGCCGCCGCCGCCGCCGGAATCGGGGGCGTCCATTTCCGGAGACCGCCTAGCCCTAACCACCACGCGCGTGCACGGCAGGATCAACTCCGGCGATTTGGGAGGGAACCCCTCACGATTCCGCGGAGGCGGCGGGAAGGGAGAGGGAGGGGACTCGCGGTCGGCGGGTGGAACGAGAGCGAATGGAACCGGTCATGGGCGTTGTTTAGATTGCCTCAGAATCGTAAGTTTTTTCACTCTCTCTCTCATCGCATTAATTTTCAATTTTTAAATATTTAAATATAGATAAAAAAAATAATTAATTATATAGTTTAGTTATAAATCACGAGACGAATCTTTTAAATTTAGTTAATTAGATTATAAAAATTTACAACGTAAACAGGGCCTGCCGTCCCCGTCACAGTCACAGCAGGTAGGTGGGCGGCGCTGGACGACCGGGGCTATCCCGCGCGTGCTCGCTGACGGGAGGGCCACACCACACCAGATTGGTGTGCGGTTGTTGGCTGGCTGCGGGTGCAGTAGGATGGTTGGTCGAGCAGGTTGGGGAATCTTGACGCCACAGCGACATCCAGACGGGGCCCATGCGTCAGTGCGGTGGGGTAGGGGGGCCGGTGCGGTGGATCTCCGACTGCCTGGAGTCCTGAACGGGAGGCCGGCGGCCGGCGGCGCTTGGTCCGTGAGGGGATGGCGATCTCTGGGCTGGGACGCAGACGGGCGGCAGGGGATGGCGCCGGGCTCGGTCCTCCTGCACTGCACTCCTGCTGGCGCGTGCCATCGTGTCGACATGCGACAGGACGACGACGTGGACCTCGTGGTCAACATCCAATTTTGCGAACCACTGTTGCTCGGTAGCCAAGGGTGAGTGGGCAACTGGTCATGATTCTCTCCTTTCCTTTCATAGTCCTCTTTCCTGTGAGTTGACTCTGCCCCGGTGAGGCCGCGTGCAATGCATGCACAATAGGATGAGGGAGAGAAAGGATTAGTAACTCAGTCTGTTTAAAAAAACATAGATTCTATATTTAAAAAAAGTTTAACTAGACTATCAATATTTGTATCTCTAAATATGTTTAATATGAAAATATATTTTATTATTAATCTAGTGATACTTACTCCTACATATCATAATTGTTAATGCTTATTTCTATAACTCTAATTAAACTTTAAAAAATGACTTTGTAAACTGTGGGAGCAGCTAGTAGCCTAATACTCTCTCTTTATAAGATGTTTTGGCTTTTTTAAATCTGTTATTTTTACTATGTACATAGACATAATGTATATCTATGTGCATAGTAAAAGCTATATATATCTAGAAAAGCCTACGTCTTATAATTTAGAACGGATGGAGTACTACATATAAAATTTCTAGGCTTTGTCTCAACCCTGTCCGAGAAATGGTGGCGACTCAAGCTATTCTCGAATTCTCAATCACAAAATTATTCGAGCTATGAAACAAGACATTGGTAGCAAACTCATTGTATATGCCTCTATGCCATGTCATGTCTTCTTGGGATCTGATCAGTGCTAACAAGCTCCATGGTGACGAAGAATAAGTCGTGGTCAATGATACATAACAAGGTCATGGCTTTTGCATAGGGATGGTAGCGAAACTCTGGTGAGGACCGAATTTTCAGGCCCATTAGAAAAACGAGCTAACTAGGGTTACAAAATTGAATTTGCTCAATGTAAGGAAGTACTCCCTCCATTCCCTTTATCTGGCGTGAGAGGAGAGTTTTCAGGTCGACACTCCTAGAAATATGGGCTTCGTATTTACTGTCCCTCACGATTAACACTGTTGAAAGGTTCTTGTTTGGTTTTGGTAATTGAGTGATAACTTAGGTGGACTAATTATGTTTAATGTGAGATACACACGTGATTAGTCCATAGGTACATGTGTGTGAGCAACATATGCCATAGAGGTGAAATGGCTTGGAGATGTTGCAAAGCTCACATATGTGATGGAGCTTATTGCATATGAGACATGACATGGAGTCATGTGATCAAGGTGGAGAAGATCAAGACAAGACTTTGCTCGATGAACCGGTTGCAAGTGTGAAGGGCAAGTTGAGTGATGACTTGGCGCCGATGGACCGAGGCAACGGTGAAGAGCAAGTGAAGTCAAGATCGATGAACCAATACGGTCACGGGATGATATGAAGTGGATCATATCATTTGGTGATTGGTTGGTGCATGTGTTGCATCAACATTAGAGAAGATGTAATGGAATGCGCAAGACAAAGGTATAACCTAGGGCATTTTATTTCACCGGTCATAGGTGTGTAGAGAAGTTGATGATCGGGTTTATGATAGATGACCGTACTATTAAGAGGGGCAAATTTATTTGCATATTGGTCATCTAGTGCTACTTGAGCAATCTAACTTTGCATACGTGTTAAGATTGAGTGGCGTGGTGAATTGAGTGACTAATCCTATGGGAAATATTTATGAAAAGCTAACACGCTTGCACATGGTGGTGTACACTTGGTAGTGTTAGCACATTTGCAAAAGTGAAGAAGTTGGTAAAGAAGAGAAGGCGAAACCAGGCTCGGGGTGCTGCCTGGGTAGCACCGCCACCCCCTGTCCGGTGCACCGCCACTCCTGTGGCGGTGATTGGCTCGGAGGCCAAGAGCAGCGTGTTGCCTTGAGGGCACCACCACTGGTTGTCCGGTGGCACCACCACCCCTAGACAATGTTTTCCTAAACGGTAAACAGTCTTTACATGGTCGTCCTTCGTTTAGCGTTTAGGTTGTTTACACGGTGTTTAAACAAAGTTAAATGGTCTAAACAGTTTTTTTTTAAAAATACATATAATTATATATGTGCATGTAAAAAATCAAGTATTCTAGCATTTATACATATTTATCCGAGTAAAAATCAATTATTTTGGTATGTATATATATTTATGCATGTGAAAAGAACCAAATATAAATATTTATGCATGTAACATATCAAGTATACACATTTATAAATATAATAAACTTAAGTATACAAATTTATCCATACAAAACTAAACTAGATTTACCTCGTGTTTGCCTAAACGGCCGTTTAAACAGCTATTTAGCCCGTTTAATGATGTTTATCTCCGTTCCGTTTAGGCCGTTTTTCCGTTTTTGACCGTTTACCCCCTAAACAAAACAGTTTACCACTATTTATCGTTTACTGGCTGTTTAAATGGCCGTTTAATCCGTTTAGGCGAACACTGCCCCTAGGGCAGTGCCCACCTAGACTTAGCCGAGCGCAACAGGGGCCGAGGTGGTTGTTGGTATTTCTTAACGCATACAGAAATAATCTGTAAGCGCACGGAATTATCGTTGTAGCATTTTACCTGAGAGTATTCAGGGTATCGTATTTCCACGATGAACGGAGGTGTAGGAGTCTCTTAAGCTAGTTCACCTAATGATAACAAGAAGAAGGATAGCTCGGGTAGCAAGGTTTTCTAAGGATAGAGATCCTAAGCTAAGATAGCTTTGCCACTATATACTTACTTCAGGCACCAGAGTGCACCTGGTCTGCCAGATAATATCGGCTTGTAGCCTACATCGAACCTAGACGTGGGGGAGTACGAAGGACAGACAGGGTTGTCACCACCTGCCGCCTACCCCTCAACCGTAGGGAACAAGGCAAACGAAGATAGCCTCTAGCCTAGACACCACGTCTACACTATCGACTACTACTCTAGCATTGATCAGAGTTATCCATCTCTATTAGGGCCCTTTACTAGAGTATTCATCACAAGGATGAACGACGGACCCACAAGTAAATAATGAACAAGACTAACTTAAAGTAGAACTCACCACCAAAGATAAACACAAACCTTATACTCTAAGTAGTATTCGGAACGTAGAGGTACAAGTGGAGAGGAACCAACGATTCTCAGCATTCCTTCCGCTAAGTGTACAAGGGCCCCAAGTACACAAGTAGAGGTAGCCGACAACTCTGGTACTTCTCCACTCTTACTCACTCACTCCCTACACTAGAACTAGCTAGAGAACTAAGATATGAATGGAGCTCTTCTCTTCTTGTCACATTATGACTCTCTTGTGTTGTGAGAGAGGAGGGGGTACCCCTCTACTTATACAAGGCTCTAAGGCAGTGCTCTGGCTATTCTTGGTGCGAAGCCCTAGGCTGCACCGCCTTAGCATGGAGCTATGCCACCGTCTGTTGAAGGTGAGGTGGAGGAGCACCAGCACGGGGCCAGCCGCCCCTTGACTGTGCCGCCTCGCCACCGCCTTCACGTGGCAGGCCATATGCTAGACATGGTTCACTGCTCCATGGGGTTTTGCCCCGGTTGAATTAATTTGATGGGTGTCTCCCTTGTTCTTTTGCGTAAATCAGTGTCGGAAAGCGCCTTTCAGTGATTTATTCCATGTATTTGTGTTTGTGACCTGCAAAATAATGTTATCCAAATACATGTGGAACTTGATTAATAGTAAATGCATATATGATTGAGATTGCTAATTTCTCCCCTTTTTATGTCTTAATTGGCGATCGGATTTGGTCATTAAGGACCACCAACAGTGGTCACTGGAAGTGACGGTGTACACCGCCATGGTGAGGGTGGTGCACCACCGGGTGTTGTCCAGTGCCATCGCCGCTTTTCAGCAGAGAGCGAGGGAAGCAGAGCTTGGTCACCGCCTGGGCACCGTCGTGCCTAGGGCGGTGCACCGCCCTATTTTCCTGAGGGCAGGGGTTTCGCAGGGTTGGCCTGGGTGGTCACCGCCACCCCTAGGGCGAAAAGATTGTGTGGTGCTCTGAAGGAGGATTTGTGAGGGGAATTGTGCTCACCCCGTGGGGATAGCGAAGAGCAACTCTAGTTGAGTGCGTCATTGAGCTACCTTCACTTTCGGGGTAGGTTCTTGCGGTGCCCATCGTGCGGGCTTAGCGGGTGATGCCAATTAGCCATCAAACCACCAAGTGAGCGGTTGACACAATGGAGACGTAGCTTGGTAGAAACCAAGTGAACCTCAGGAGAAAATCACCGTGTCAACATTGTCTTCATCATCTTCTCGGTGGTTTGCATTCCATGAAACACAAGCTTG